GGTTAGAAAATACAAGTTAAGTGCTGAAATGTATCTGCTACCGGGGTTATTACTTTCTATACGCCTGATTGTGATTTTTCTAATACTTTCATTAGGCTCGGTTATTCTTCCTTTTTTTAAAAGCACATTCTTTGTTATTTTGTGCCTCTACTGAATACATTGTCTCCATGCTTTAAAGGTCACCTATTTGCAAATCCACTTTTTTTCATGTCTCGTCATCTACATCACATGGTGTCCCCTCCTGTGTTAAGAGACTCTGAAAGTTTCCGGTAAAAAAGATTCTCTCACTTTTTGTACCTGGATCCATTTCTATAAAACCTGTCTGAAAATGAGCTGATCAGATTTTTGGGCACTTTGGTGATGTCATAACGATTTTTTGGCTTGGTGTAAACCTTAGCCAATCACCAACCGAAGGTACCCTCCCCCCACCTTATCGACCTGAAATCTGCCTCTTTCTCTCCTAAAGCCACCATTTAGTCGCTTTAACACCAAGAGTACTTTTGCCGTACTTAGCTTTCGCCAGCCACTAAGCTATGGAACCAAGAGCAGATCGCGTTCACACCGGAGTACTTTTCCCTGAGGGAGGGAATTAGTCAATGAGCCGCTGGACGTCACTTCTTCTTCTTCTGCTTTGGTTTCCCCGATGGGCAGTGGGCCGACGTGTTTACTGGCAGGGACGCAAACAAGCTTCACGGGCCGTATACTTGCCGCCCGAAGTCCCCGGAGGTTGGGGACTGGCCTTCAGTAGAAGCTGAGTACTGAAGCCTTCCGGCGCTAAATGCGCCCCAGAACCGCCGACACCTCCTCATCTTCACGCCCTCCCATGGTTTTCTTTGTGCTTGGCATAAGTTATTCTCTCTCCGCTTGGTGTGCGGGGCAATGCTGGAATGCTAATTAATGTATATGCCGCAAATACAATGGGCGGCTTCAGGAAAACTTTTTCCGAGGTTTTTCGCCCAGCCAATCAGAAATTGTACTTTTTTCTCCCCAGGATAGTACCACCTCTCTAGCAGGCAGCTACAAAGGGGTAAAAGTTATCATGAACTAAGTTTCTCTTTTTTGGTGTGAACGCAAAATCGGAACTAGAGACGGGAAAGTCTACGGGGGAAAAAATACTCTGGTGTGAAAAGCGGGTGTCGATTGGTGTTCTTTTTAACCAAATCTCTTCTCAGAGGGGCGTGGGGAGGGCTCCTTATTTCCATCTAAAGGCAACAGCACAGAGAATCAGCGCATCTTTTTGAACAGGGTTGAAACGAAGAGCGGATTATGCGGTAATGCCTGCAATGATCTGTTTGGTGTTTGGAGCCAAACCTTCAGGAGACATGTTTTGTATTATATCTGAGACCTGTAATATATTGGATGCAGAAAAGTATCATTTAGGGGACCTTTTAATTTCAAAAAGCCTCTTTATTGCTTTCTCATACTGCCTGTGCTTGCAGCCATCTTCTTTCAGGTGATTTTGAAAGGTTAATGTTAACCTGTCAGACTCGTTTGTTTCATTTAAATACGCAGAGGTTGAGGCGGCATAAAAACCCTTGATTTTAAAAACGGCACTTTACAGAATGCCCCCCCTAATCCAAGTGGCTCTTCATTTCCCCTCTTTTTCATTTAGTAATGATACTTCTCATTTCATCATGGCTTTGCATAATATCAAAACAGACCAGTCAAGAGGACACCCGCACTTGTTTTGTAGATGAGATGCAAATCAAGCAGAAGCACACTTTCAACAACGTATTCTGAAATCAACAAAGGCACTTTTAGGATGGTTAATATGAACACACACTTTGAAATGTGTTTATTTAATATTTAGATGCATTTATTCATTTTGTAATAATACTGATCTACTCCTGCTCATCATTGAGTGTTTTTTAACCCACTTTTCTGATTGACAACCTTCTCTTAGCTGCTTCTTCTTGTATCTTCCTCAGCCTTTCTTTCACTTCCATTCTTTCTTCCTTTTCTCTTAATGTAACCCATTTACAGAATACATGCTTTGTGAAACCCTAATATTAAGATGACCTGCAGTTTTATTTAAAGGTCACCTATTTTTGCAAAATCCACTTCTCCATGTCTCTTCTACATCACCATGTGTCCCCTCTGTGGAAAGAGACTCTGAAAGTTTCAGGAAAAAAGATTCTCTCTCTTTTCGTCCTGATCCATTTCTATAAAAACCTGTCTGAAAAAAAGCTGATCAGATTTTGGCCACTTTATGATGTCACCATGATTTTTTGGCTTGTGTAACCATTAGCCAATCACCAACCAAGGTAACCCCCCACCCCCCCCTTATCATCTGAATGTCCTCCTAGAGCACCATTGAGTTCTTTGTAACCAAATCTCTCTCAGAGGGGCGTGGGGAGGGGCTCCTTATTTTCATCTAAAGTAACAGACAGAGAATCAGCACTTTTGAAACAGGGCTGAAACAGAGGGGATTATGGGTAATGCTGCAATGATCTGTTTGGTGTTTGGAGCCAAACACTTCAGAGACATGTTCTGTATATATCTGAGACCTGTAATATATTGATGAAGAACAGTACAATATTGTATGTGTGTCATGCAGTGGTTGGATCACTGCCTTCACTAGCATCAAAACCAACAAGGCGGTGGGAGCCATCATGATCATCGTGGCGATCCTCTTCACCACCTGCGCCGTGCTCTCCATCGTCCTGCTCAAGATGGTGAGACTTCAGCACTTTGTATACCATTCATTAAATGCGTGTTATCAGCTATGCCATTTGACTAATCTCCTCTTTAACTTGGTTGTTTTTTTTTTTTTTTAAATGTTTGTTTGCTGGGTTGGCTGGAAGGGATCTACGGTACTCCACTGAGGAGATAAAAAAATGTGTTTGAGAAAAAAAAAAAAAATGTGTTTTTGATCCTGAAATCTGGAAAATACAACGTTTTCCAAACTAAAAACAAGTATTTTGAAAAGTGTTTTCAAATCTATTTTTAGAAGTCACTACTGTACTTAACATTGCAATTTAACAATATAATACAGAAAAGTTTGGAATTGTGGAAAGATATTTTGATATTGCTTTATATTTATAAATATCATAAGTAAAGTAAAACGTGCCAGCAGAGTAACTGACGCTCCGATAGCAACAGGCAAGGCAACAAGCCTCGATCTGTGTGTCAAAAGATGATGCATTGGGTCCTTGAATTTTATGGAATTAGACCTTGAAAGTCTTTGAAAGTCCTGAAATGTTGTATTTAGGCAGCTGCGAAACACTGGTAATACCGATTAACATATTGTGTAGGTTTTAAGCAGCACTGCCAGACCGTCCTGTCCTAACCTTTAACTCCCACACTCTCATTTATTTCCATTTTTTAAATACCATAGATAAGCAAATACACAGTATGACAACAGTCCATTTTCCTACCATGGTATTCTGTGAAACTGGAATACCGCTGCAACCATAACCCTAAGCTGTGCAATATATACCTGGATGCTAAATCTCAGAACTGTTACAGGATGTGTATTTTCTAAATTGTGTAATTTTTCTTTTACATTTGTTATCTTTAATATTTATCAATGCATGCTTCGTGGGTAATATTAAGCTGTGTTTGGCTCTTGCTGTAACAAATGCAAATGTCCCCTCTGTGGCACGAATAAATCAAATCAAAATGTATTATAGCCCCAAATCACTGTTCAAAGCAAACAAAGACAAAATACAAACGTTATAGCGTAAAAATTATAAAAACATTATACCTCAAAATAAGTATTGCCATGGGATAAAAGCATGTGACTGAAGTGATGGTAATGTTGAACGGAAACTAGGTGATAGAAATTAGTTTACAACGAAGACAGATGCGAAGAGATGGGTTTCAGTTTGCTTTTAAAGGAGTCAACGGAAATCGCTTCGGATCTGACGATTCCAAAGGAGAGCTGCTCGGAGGGAAAAGGCTCTGCCACCGACGGATGATTTGTGAACTCTGGGGATGGAAAGGAGAAAGTTATTCTGATTCTGATTCCTGGCGATTTCTTTCTCTCCTCAGGTCCACAGCATGTACCGCCGCACCGGGGCCAGCTTCACGAAGGCGCAGCATGAGTTCTCGCAGGGCGTCCTCACCAACAAGACCTTTCAGACGGCGGCTGCCGGAGCGGCCAGCACCGCGGCACAGGGAGCCTTCCAGGGGAACTGAGGCTGAGCTGAGCTGCATGCCCCCGGTCAAGGTCTCTATGTTATCAAGTCCAGATCATTCATTAAATCAAAGCAGAATGTATCAGGAAGCTGAGGTTCACTGAGAACTTCCTGGAAGGTATTGGAGGCGGCAGATTTTAATCTCACTTTATAACGTACAGACCTTGAGCTAGGTGAGGCTACATGATTAGCCTCCCTCCTTTCACTCCCACTATCGATGCACATGTAACTCCCCATGTCTCACATCCAGCATGTCTCCTGCAGAGTGACTGCGTCGTCTCTGTATTTAAAAAGCAGTCGAGGGGGGAAGCAACAAACCAAGTGCATTGTGGGGTGGAAAGCATGAATGAAGTTGACCGTTACCTACTTAGTTTGTCCTGGCTTTGTATATTTTGTGTGCACTTTTTTGGCAATGCTCTTCAGTGTAGTGTGTGTGTGTGTGTGTGTGTGTGTGTGTGTGTGTGTGTGTGTGTGTGTGTGTGTGTGTGTGTGTGTGTGTGTGTGTGTGTGTGTTGATCACATGTCTTCTTGTGGGCGCAGTACGCTTCTGTCTCTCCACACTAGTGGACCCTGATCCTGTAATATAAATAATGAAGTGCGTTTTTCTGTCTTAAAGGAATTCTCTTTGCTGTTGAAACTATTTTTGGCGAACCATCTCTTTAAGTGTGCGGCAAAGTTAATAAGGAAACACAATTACAGGTCAATCATGCACTTAATTGTAATCTGACGCGCCTTAGATTTGGGGGAAATGACTGTAAATATTCATTCAAATCTGCGGTTTATTAAACAATCCCCATCAATTGAGATTACAGTACAATGTCTTAAAACATGTGCCTTTTAACTTTTCTCTGGAACCAAACTCGGAACATTTGTTGAAATGTTGATATCACATAAAAACTATTTCTACACAAACGTAACATCCATAGAGTACTCTGCTTTTTTTCCTGCTTGTAAACAGCTAATTTAATTTCTTTTATAATTAAGAATATGGAGAAAATATAAATTGATTTCACTCTGCATCAGATTTCTGTTTCCTATAATATACATGTTTATGAAGCGGCTTCAAATTCTTCTTCGCTCACTGCCTTTCAAGACCGTTTTTCCAAAGAAACCAAAGCATTACTGACTTTTTAAAAAAAGGAACATGTTGCTGATGAAATGGAGTCAAAGTAGATACTGTAATGGGCTGAGCCTATTCATTGGCTTTCAATGCTAAGAGACAGAGCTGCTTATGTTATCATGTAGATTAACAGTATGGAAATCAGTCGGTGTGGAAAATATGAATTATAAGAAAACATCTCAAACACTGTTTTGAGGTTTGTAGTGAATCTGATTTTATTCTCGAACAGTAATAAGAGAAACGTATCCTTCTTTAAAGAGAACCAGCCTATAATCCTCACCAGTATGCAGGTATTATAATTGTAATACATTCTTTGCTTCAATCTCACCTTGAAATAATTTCCTCTCTCGTTGTCTACTTGTACCTCTCAAAGACGACCACCAAGCTCTAAATTATTTTTCGTACTGATGTATATTTTCTATTGAATTCCTTATATTAAAAAAACATGCACACGTGTTATTTCCATATCCTGTTCTAAAACATCAGCTTGGATTGATCACCTGTTAGCATTCCTGAAGAAAGACTGCAAACCGTGTGATGTGTTGTCTGATTTATGGTTTGGTCTGTCATCCATTACACACCACAAGATCTGTATCAATTCACACATCACTGTTTGCGTTGTTGTGAGAGAAAATAATTCAGTGCCTTTCGTATTTCAATATTGGATTCATCATCTAATAAAATGCTTTGCTTTCATTTGAGGCTGTAGTTGTCTTTTTTTTAACAGCCTTAATCGTTTTTGATAATGCTATGAATGTTTTAATAAATAATCTTAGATTCAGAACATACTGTGAAAACAAAGATATCTGGGTTTGTGTCAAAGAAGAGGTTGTCATGCTTTTATTTTTGACATCATGTATTTGTAGTCAGTTAGCATGCTAGTTTCAGAAGATAGCACTTTAACATCATCACATACTGTTAATATGAATTTCTGAATGTTTTGCAAGTAAAAAGGAAGGCATCCTCTGATCTAAAAGGAGGGTACTAGCAGATGTATGACACACAGTATTGAAGTTGATTCCTATTTTCATAACCTGCAAATATTACATTTTAAAGAGGATATATTTGTTCATTTCCAGGTTCATATGAGTATGTAGTGTCTCCATACTTGCCAACCTTTAGACTAGACCTCAAAATGCAAAATTGGGGGTGGGGGTGCTAGTGGATCGCCGGAGCTGTTAGATTAACATTAACATGCTTATTGTAGTTGTAACTAAGTGCACTGCCTTGCGGCCTGTAGCACCGTCCTTGATGGAGCATATGTGTGGGCTGGACCTGTATTTTACAGGAAAGGAGTGAGCAGAGAGTAGAGTAGTTGTCGATTCTTGTTCTGTTTTCTGTGACTATCTGCCTCACCCTCTCAAACTTTGAGTTGCGCGCGCTACTAAAGAGACGTGTTACCATGGAAACCAAACAATGGTGTAGCTGTATTAAAGTCCGAGTGGAAACAGTCGTGTGTAAATCTGATTTTGTCAGAAATGCGGGAGAAATATGACTCCGGTAGGAAACCGGGAGAGGGCAATGAAATCGGGAGTCTCCCGCGAAAATCGGGAGGGTTAACAAGTATGGTTGGAAGTGGTTCTCCTGGCTCCGGTGTGTTCAAGGAGTCTGCAGGAAGATAACAGAGACACCAGATTGCCTCTCACAGTGGTCCAGACTTCAAGAGCGTTGATTTGAATGTACTCACTTTAGTTAGTGCTGCATGTATAAGTATTACTCTCTACTATAATGTGTTATTCCTCTGCAGACGCTGAACATCGGCTGCTGGTCTTTTATGTTTCTTCTTTTGTGCATATCAGGATTCCCATGAACACGTTGGTCTGGTTCCTGAAGGCGTCTCTTTTCCTCAGTTCTTCCAAATCAAATCAAGTTTTATTTATATAGCACATTTATAAACGATTTTTGGTGGAGCCAAAGTGCTGACATATAATAAAAATAGCCTACAATAGACACTTTACAGAAAATACAACAGCACAGATTGTTCAGAATATCAGTATGAGAATACGACACCCTCTGTCCTTAGACCCTCTGTCCTTAGACCCTCTGACCTTAGACCCTCTGTCCTTAGACCCTCTG